CAGTAGCTCAACAGTGAGGGCCGTGTCCTAAACACACTGGAAAATAATATGATGATGACTCCCTGTCGGGGGAAGTGTCACATCTACCACTTTGTGGTCCCCCACCCAACCATCCTGTGAGAGCAGTGTCTCCATTTTTCAGATGAGGAAACAGGCTCAGAGAGGCCAGATAACTTTCCCAAGGTCGCCTATCTGGTTGGTTACAAAATCAAGACACTGATGAAAGGAAAGAGGCTGTGTTCCATGAGGCACCCCCTGGTGTTCCCTTCCCGGGAGACAAAAAGCCTGGAAGTGGTGACCAGCTCTCTCTTCCTTGTTCTCCAAGGCGCCAGGCCTCTGTTTGACCCCCTTGGCCACAGTGTGGGGCACAGATCACTTGGATAAGGTAGCTGGAGGTTTCCCCATCACACTTGACATTTCTATTTCTCTCGGACTAGCAGATCTTCGATGAAAGGGTCATGCTATTGATAGCTGGCTACATGCGTTATCAGGTTTCATAATCCATGCTGGGCAAAACAGTTGCCCCTGGAGAGGAAGTGAGAGAAGTGAGAGACACCTAGACAGAAAAGGACAGGGATCAGGTAGAAAATAACTAGCAACTAACTTCACATGAAAAATAACTAACAGGCAACTTGGCCAAACCTTAAAGGCCAAACGTCAGGCTATAGCGGGATGTCCTCAGAGTTTTTTAAAAAGAGAAAGATATGCAAACGAGGAAATGACAGGAAAGGGGGTAGGCAGAGTGGCTTAGCTACATGGCCAGAGGAAGAACAAGGCAGAAAGAAGCGGGGAGCCTTGAGAACCAAGGGGGGCTTATTGGTTAGCAGGTTTATATACCCCCAAACCAAGGAGCCTCATTAGCAAACCTGTCCGGGACCCCTGCCCTCCCCTGCTGGCAGCTTTGTAAGTTTTGTGCTTGCTTACCAATAACTCCGCTTCCAGGCACAATCTCGCTTGTCCGTGATTCCCGTCCTCAACTTCACTAAACAACCCCCGGGGAAAAGATCACTTCTGAGATCCCATCCTGAGCTCAGAAGGACCTCAGTCCTACCCCTGCCGGCTGGTACCTCTGCCCTCCCTCTACCCTAATTTCCCGAAAGTAGAGGCTGCTAATCTGATTGGTCAGAGTCCAGGACATTCCTGGGGCCCTGCTTCACCAGTGGCCAGGCTCACTCCATCTAAAGCCAGTGCACCGTGCTCCGTGAGGGCCTCGTGCCAGGAAAAGCCTGCCTGCCTGAGCAGACCCGGCCAGGTGCTCCCCTCCTCCAGGTGTGGACTGAGGGGGCACATGACCTAGAGGCAGCGAGGAGCTTCATTGATACCTTCAGCTCAACTTGCCAGGCTTCGAAGCAGCTCACCTTTAGTTCAGTGATCAACAAAGCGGTACTTTTATTTCCTGTTTAGCTGGTGGAGCGCTAGTAAATGTTTAACAACCAACGCTTTGGCTGAGGCGGGTGGGGGAAGGAACGACTCTAATTGGTGCATTTGTCAAGTTCCGGGCATGAAAACTCCCGCTGCAGCCAGCTGCTCGTCACCAGCAGGACATTATTAGGAAGTAAGGCGCCCTAGCCCACCCTCATACAGATACCAACAGAAATGACCTCAAGGACATAGGTCATTGTAAGATGTAGCAAAATACTTAGGACGGGGTGGATTTTGAGTATCTGGTACCTTAGTTTTAAATAAAGCTTCATTGTAAGTTGATAGAGCGTAATTTTTAATAATGGCAGTACTTAACAGCCGGCTTACACATTTCATGAAAATTTAGCCACTGGCTCTCGGGAGCTGTTCAGGCTGGCGGCGTGCCCCTGCGTTCATCTGTTATTCCTGCATATGGTGTTCTCTCAATGGTGACCCTTCTTGCTTCCCTCTGTCAAGCATCCTTTTTGTTCGGGAGGGGCTGACAATCACATGACCTGCCTCCCCACTGTCCTGATAACAGGACCTGGACTGCAGCCATGGGAGGAGGGGATAGGTGAGAGGGTTGGGTGTGGGAATTCCTGGGACCTTGGCTGCAATATCATAACACTGTCAACCCCATTCTCACTTGCAAAGTTGTGGGAAACAACCCAGCCAACCCCAAAACCATGCCCTACCAGCATCGAGCCAGGTGCTTCTTGTCGACGGCTCACCTGGGCTTCCCCCGAATCTGTGCCTCACCCAGCGAGAGAGCCTGGGGGATCCGTGACCGGCCCCCGTCCCAGGCCTGGCTCTGCCTTTCCCTAGCTCTGTGTCGGTGGGCAAGGCCCTTCATCTCGTGGAGCCTCTGTTCCCTCATTTGTAAAACATGGCAAACCTACTTCACCAGATGCTGGTGAGAATTAAATGAGGTTGTTCATGCCAAGGCCTCCCTCTGTGCTCAGCACAGACTGTGCCCAATCTTATGAACATGGTGGGGGGTGGAGTGGAGGCCACTGGGACTCTGGGGAGGAAATGGGAACAGGCCTTGTTGTCCCCCACCCTGTGAGAGCAGTGTCTCCATTGGGATTCTGGGGAGGAGATGGGACACAGGCCCACTGGATATAGGCACTGGGTGTCCCTGAAGCCTGGTTTGTTCTCATTAAGATTCTCCAGCCCGCCCTTCACTGGCCTGGCCAGCCTGGAGTTTTCTGGGAGAACAAGATGCTCTCTACCAACCACCAGCCTGGGCAGCAAGACTCTGGCTTCTTCCTGGGGAGGGAGGCAGAGCCCGGAGTCCCCGCCCAAGGTGCTTGGACTCCCGTGGGTACAGCAGAAGTTGCAGACTCTGAGGGACCGTCCCGCTTGTTTTATTTGGCCTGAATTGTGTTTGGAAACCTTTGAATTCATTGCTGATTTAGGAAGCAAGAGCTTTCACCTGACACTGTGCCCACCCTCCTGGCTGGGCCACAAGCAGCTGGAGCTGGTTAACAACTACCCCCAGAGTCACGTGTGTGCGCTGCCCTTTGCCAGGTTCCACCCGGACCTTGACCCAGGGCATGAGCACTTGGAGGACGCTGCAGACTTTGGGGCACGTGTGTGCAATTTCCAGGGCTCCCACCACCACATTTACTCTTCTACCGGCGTCTGCACCCTCTTTGCACAGATGGGGCCTCCTGTTAATATAGATGAACCATTTATATTGCCATCTGTAGCCAACCCCTCAGTGGTTCTCAACCTTGGCTGCATATTAGAATCACCTGGGAATCTTTTTAAAATCCTGATTTCTGGGCCTCATCCTCCGGAAATTCTGTTTCTTTGTTACTAATGTTGTGGCCCCACCCAAGAGGTTCTGGGTTGGCAGGAGGTGCTCACGCTTACACCCGTCCTTGGTAGCTTGCTTGCCTGCTGCTGCCATTGTGGCCCCACCCCATAACAAAGAAAGAATTTCCGGAAGATGAGGCCCAGAAATCAGAATTTCAAAAAGATTCCCAGGTGATTCTAATGTGCAGCCAAGGTTGAGAACCACTGACAGTAAACGACATCCCACCCCTCCCGTTCCCTCGAGAACAACATTCCAGCGCGTCTAAGACATCTGACTCATTGGCCAACTCCTTTTCATCCTCCTTTTGCCAGAAGCCCAAACTTCACAAATTCTCTGGCTACGACCTACCGCTGCTGCTGGCATGGTGAAGGCACAATGGCATCTAGATGCCAAGTATCAAAACGTTATACTTGAGCCTGGCTGACGTGGCTCAGTGGTTGAATGTTAACCTATGAACCAGGAGATAAGGGTTCGATCCCTGGTGGGGGCGCATGCCCAAGCCTAGTGTGTGGCGTGCAGCAGGCAGCCAATCAATGATTATCTCTCATCATCGATGTCTCTTTCTCTCCCTCTCCCTTCCTCTCTGAAACCAATAAAAATATGTATTTTTTAAATGTTTTACTTGATTGAAGATTTGTTTCACAAAATAATGTTTCTTTATTTGTGTGCTTGTGTCACGGAGATCTCACTCCTCCCATTTGTTCCTCACCAGAGAGACAGCACCTGGCAAGTGGGCGGGGTGAGGGGGTGGTTGGTGGTGGCAGCAGGTGCCCCACAGACACCTCTCGCCACACAAAGGGGAAAGGGAAGATGAGGCTGCAGCGCCACTTGTCACTCAGCTGGATTATTAATTGCTGCAGCCCAAACTGCTTTTCCTGCTTCCTTCCTTCCTTCGTCTGTTCTCAACCCAGCAGCACAGTCAGATCCTGTCTCTCACTGGCTGAAAATCCTCTACCCACGCCCCCCCGCCCCCACTTGGAGTAAAACCCGGAGTCCTTACCATGGCTGGAAGGTCCCGCATGAATGGACCCTCTCTGCATTAGCCCTTCCACTCTCCTCTCACTCCTCCTCCATTTAAGATGGTGAATTGTGTTTATCTGCCATCTGGCTTTTTGCAGACCCTCCAACATCCCAGCAGGCTCCCACCTTCAGCCTTTGTACTGGCGCTTCTTCTGGAACATTCCCAGGATGCCACATGGCTATCACCCTCAACCACCTTCAAACCTTGCTTACACATTAACTTTTCAGGAAACCCTATGTGAAATTCTACCCTGCTTTCTGCTGACCTTTCTGACACTACTCTTCCTCTCCCCTCTTAGTATGTTATCATCTGTGACACCATATTATGATTTCCCTATTTATAACAGCATCTGTGTCTCCCCAATCCGGGTTGCAAGAGCCCTAGGGGGATAGGGGGGTGTCTGGCACAGAATCAGCTCTCAACTACTTCTTGAATAAGTTAATTTCTAGAAAAGACCTTGGCTTTGATCAGATATCAAAAAGATTTGTGGTCCAAAAACCACTAAAAAACGAAACACTTCCAAGGACTAAAGCTGTTGGAAAACACACACATCCATGTCCTTCAAGAGCCCCTCTGAGCCAGGACACAGCAATGGGACCAAGTATATATTGCCCTTGGTTTTCCCCAGTTCCCTCCTGACGTGGCAGTGTTGGGAGCCCCTCCCCTGGTGTTGGGAGCCCCTGAACGCCAGCAGGGCAGCAGTTCCAGACCCCGTGAGAAAGCTCCCCAGCCACAGCACAGAGAGGAGACACACCGTGAGATTTACCATGGGGGCACTGTATGTGGAGTACATGCTGGGAGCAACAAGAACAGCAGTAAATACAGAACAGAAAATAACAATTTTTGAAATGACAACGAACAGGACACATTATCTAAGCACTAACACCTAAGGAGGTGGCTGCCCAGGCTCTGGGGGGCAGCTCCTCAGGAGAAAGAGGCCGACTTCTTTCCAGGCTGCCTGGTCTTCAGTCCTTGTAACTTCTCATCTTTCAGCGCCTTCAAGAACTTATCTGCAGGAGAGCAAGACACACTTAGCTTGAGTAGAGATAAGGGCTTTTACTAACGCTGCGAATGCAACTGTGTGCTCCCCACAGGAGCCCCAAATCCACTATGATCCAAAACATGTATAAGTGGAGAATATGCAGTTGAGAAATCCAGTACTTAGAAAAGTAACTTACCTGCTGGAGAGCAAGACACACTTAGCTTGAGTAGAGATAAGGGCTTTTACTAACGCTGCGAATGCAACTGTGTGCTCCCCACAGGAGCCCCAAATCCACTATGATCCAAAACATGTATAAGTGGAGAATATGCAGTTGAGAAATCCAGTACTTAGAAAAGTCCAAGTTTTCTAGGAATTGTTTCTAGAGACCCGCTGCCTCATGGACCTAAACATTTGGGTGATTTCACACCCCCTTCCCTGTGTGGGAGGTGGAGGCAATTTTATAGAGTAATGGGGATGGTCTTTCAAGAACCATCTCCTCACCTTCAGTGGCCAGGTGCTAGCCACAGTCAGAAGTGATTTCACACCCCCTTCCCTGTGTGGGAGGTGGGGGCAATTTTATAGAGTAATGGGGATGGTCTTTTGAGAACCATCTGCTCGCCTTCAGTGGTCAAGAGCTACCCATAATCAGGACAGGTGATGGGAAAAACAAAGTCTGCAGAACAGCCTATGGCTACTGAACATTCTACAGAGCAAATAGGTCCTCCGGGAGTCGAATTGGACTGTGTGTGATTTTACTCTCCCACAGCAGCTTGCATGCTCCAGGAATCCCACCCACACCGGCACAGCTGGTCTCCCTGGTTAAGTAAGATCCCAGAGACTTCAAACCCAAGATCAGATGGCAGAGTCCAAGACCCTGGTGACAGGGCTACAAGGGGGGGAGGGGGATGAAGGGCGCTGGGTGTGTCCCAGGGAAGCTATCATCCAGCATTGTCCTTGGGCCTCCTGGGTCTTGCACAATTCCCATCTGCCCCCTACAGACACTCCAACCCACCCTCCCCTACTTCTCCTATCTCCCACCCAGGATCCCAGTTGAAGATAAATGCTAAATCTCGGTCTCTAGAAAAAGGGGCTGCCTGTGGTGGGTGTGGCTCCAGGGGTAGTTGTGTTCCTGTGCAAGAGGCTTAAGGTTCAGGTGCGGACTGGTGGTGGGTGGAGTACCAGGGTTGGGGCTCAGGGTCCAGATTCCCGGAAGGACCAGGATGGAGGGAGGATGGAGTTTGAGGAAAAGGGTCAGTTGAAATTCAGGATGGGGGGAATCTGGGTTCTGGGGATCAGCTGGAAATCTGGGACACCTGGGTGCTGGAGCCTGAGCCCGAGGCCACATTTGGGGGAACCTCGGTAGGGGGACATGGAGTCAAGGCCGCCCAAGAGTGGGCCCCGGCGGCCCGGGGAGGTCACGCACAGCGCTGGGAGTCGAAGCCGTCCCCAGTGATGGTGAGCAGCTCCAGCTCCTTAATGCGGATCTCCAGTTCGCACAACTCCTCGGGGTGGGAGGCGGAGACCAGCCGGGAGGGCGTGGGGCCAGGGCTCAGGGGCGAGGCAGCCCCCTCGGGCCCTGGCGGCGGCGAGTAGAAGAAGCGCAGAGGCTCATAGGGGATGGAGGCCAGGCCAGAGGGCCAGGGCGGGGGGCATGAGAATTTCTTTGTTAGTTACCTTTCGTTGTAATCATCTCCATCCCAACAATTATAGTAGCGAACAATATTTGGATGACTAAGCGTTGCCAAAACTTTTACTTCACGCTTTACCTTCCTAGTTAAAAGAAAGAAGGAATAGAAGGGGTCAGTATACATCCCTGATAACAATAACAAAGCACCTCCTCTATCTGCTCAGCT